TATATATATATATATATATATATATATAAACAAAATATATGATTTGATAAACAAATGGCAAAGGCAAAATATGATTTGGAGATGAGGTCCCTGTTTTAAACTATTATACTAAAACAGTGGTTTCATGATGGATGCATAGCCTCCTATACATACTTTTAATTCATAGGCAACTAAATTTCATGCACATCTGTCACAGTTTTTTGGTTCATTATGTTAGGTACATTACTTCTGTGATCCTATTCAGATTAATCATGTAAAAACTAGTTAACAAGACTGATTGCAAGTAAACCTAGTAGATCAATATTAATAAGGCTGCATGCGTTGATCCTACCTATACACCAGATTGGCAAGAGTATCATGCATTGCTTCACCCTTTAAGTGGCAATTCATGTTTCTCTCAACCTTGAGGTCATGGGTCAATACCTAACAAGGCAGTTTAGGGTGAGCACATTGAATCCAAAGGAAGATATGTACTTTTTGTTGCCAAGTCAGCAGGGGCATGTACCCATCCAGGCCCTCGTGACTCTGCCAACGGTGATAGGCATGATAACTTATATTTAACAACCTTGTTTTGGGACAACTTTTCGAAGTTCATTTAAAATAGTCCCATGGGTTATAAAGCTTTAAATTCCTTGGTTCAAAGCTTATTGTTTTTCTTTGCATTTAGAGAGTAAGAGGTATTAAGGTTTTCTATTGCTTTCTGGTTTCTTCTGTGTTTCATTTTGCTTTCTGAATCCTTTATCACTGGCTTGTTAGGCTTTAGACAAATACATGAAATTTCTGGGTCTTCAAATGCTGAGATTTAGATGTGTTCACATAAAATTGCAGGTTTGGAAAATTATTTGCCTGTGTGGGTGGGAACCTAGGCTACTTCCATATGTTGTTGACTGTGAAGACCGATCAGATCTGTTGGGAGAAAATTCCCCTCCATCAAAATCATCACCACCGATACTCCATGAACAGAAAGATGGTCTAACCATTTACTCGAGTGGAATTGGTGATATTGAGTCGAGAAGTACTGGTGTTACTAATGATGACTATGATCCTGCATCTGTTGTCTTAGACTGCAGATTTTGTGGTGCTTGTGTGGCATTATGGGCTTTTGCAACTGTTCGACGCCCTTTAGAACTTTACACCATAGTTTCAGATTCCAGTAATCAAAATGAAGCAACCACTTCCAGAGTTCTAGTTTGTAAAACGGAAGCTTCTGGAGCTGTTAATTTGGACTTGGGGACTTATGATTCTAGTAAAGGAGATACTGATACTTGCCATGGTGGTTCAGCAATGAAAGAAAAATCACTAGGTTCGAATTTGTCAATTGCTGGTGGTCCTCCACCAAGAAGACAAAATTTCCAACCACGAGTTTCTTTTCCCATTGTTAGCCGACATTTAAGAACTGAACTCAGTTCACACAGAAACTGTGTATCACTTGAATATTCATGCGAGAACCAAGTAAATAATGAGTGTTTACAAGTAGAAAGTGATCCATCTTGGCTTCAAAATGATACAGGTGGGGCTCTTGTTAGATCACATAGTCGAGGATTGTTGAAGCGCAAAAGAAGTGAAAATGAAAGTTTGTTTAGAGATGGTGATGCTAATGCTCTATCCCAACTGGACAAAGATATTCATGGTGCAAGCATTACTGGTGGTGGCAGTGCCTCCATGGGTGGGAAGGACATCATTGAGCATGAAGCCAACTTGCTGCGTCAGGACAGTAATCTTCAAAACCAAGAAGTTGACACTCAAAATACATTAGAGGTTACCCATGGAGATAAAAAGGATGCTGAGAGAGGAGAGGTATCGCATGAGATAGCAGAGGGTGGAGGGGAAACTACAACTACAAATGCTCTCCTCACCATTAAGAATCTTGATGACACAGAAACTAAATCTGCCACTGAAAAAGCAGACATCTGCAGTAAATCCAGCAACGAGACAATACATCATGGTGGAATATCAAACAACGATGGTGACTCTACTACCTCTGCTTCAGATATTGATGCAGTTTTATCTATTAATTGTGTAAATGCAGAAAAAGGTGAAAAGGATTGTGATGTTAAGATGAATATAGACAATCTAACTAGCAAAGGATTATGTTTCAAAAATGGAGATGCAAATGACACACTTGGTGAGAATCTTTTTTCATATTATTAATATTATTTTTATTTAAATTGTTTCAAGTTATTTAATCATTTGTTAGATAACTACTAAATCATTTCTTCCTCCCATGACAATTTGTGTTGGTGCTGATTTTGTATTTGTGATGCTTCTTAAGCATGAATTTAAATGGTGTTTTTTTTGTGTGATTTAGAGAAGGAATCGACACGAATGCTGTATAATAGAACCAGCCAGTTTGATCCAATCAGGCGACACAGGCCCTACTGCCCCTGGGTTGCTCCGGATGATGGTGAAGCTGTGCCTGGGTGGAAACTGACTCTCTCTGCTGTGGTTCATCACAAGAAGGATTCTTCTCTTGCAAGTTTAGAGACCTCATCAACCCTGCTTGATGACGTAATACATTTTTTTTTTGAGTGTTAATTAATCAATGCTTTGCATATTGTTTTCTGGGTATAGAAGCTGAAGACAAATGCATACTCATACTTATTTTACATATTGCAGATGGATGATCCCATTGTTTCAGTGCGGAAGCTATTTTCATCCCCATCCCCAAAAAGGTTGAAGGGTAGCCGTTGATAGCTTAAAGAGGCTTGAGCCCAAACATATGAACTGAAAACTGCACTACTAGCAGAATGAGGATGCACTTAATGACTTCCAATCAGAGCTGCTCAAGTTGCCAGTGCAAGTACTTATGTCAACCTATGTGCCAATATCATTTTGATATCTCACACACACACACACACACTCTCTCTCTCAAGATGAAAATAAGCTTCAGATGACAGGGATGTTGTAGTAGAATTGAAGGTGTGGTTTCTGAACCAGTGAAGAACATTCTTCGAGGTGAGATGAGCTCGGAGGATGCATGTACAGAGAATGTAGGTAATGAAGTCTCTTACATTGAAACAGTGTTTGTCACCCTTTGGACCATAAAGGAGACTTATTTTTCGGCACTCGTTTCAGCAACTGCTTTAATGATTATGTATATAACCAGTATAGTTTTTTGTTCTGCTGTTAGCTACTTGTTTTGTTTGTGAGCTTTCTGAGATTCTCTTGGGAGTCTTCCCTCGGTACGGGTTTGTGTGCCCTAAGATCAGGAGGAATTGTGGACATGCAACAATTCAAGAATTTGTAGGTCATTTTGTTTATTATCAGTAAAAAATTGAGGAACATTGTGTGAAATCTCGAACAGGAGCTAGTGATGAGTTGTTGAACATTTTGAATGGATGATCTTAATATTCGAATCCGTAAACATTTAAGCTAATTCTTTGCATTTGATCCAAAGGGTTATTCGTATCATTTCAGTTGCAGTTCTGAAATGATACGAATATTACTTTGGGACAATCTTATATTACTTTCGGTAGTTAGATTTTTTAGTATCTCGATTTTTAGATTTAAAAAATTTATATTAATATTTTTATAAATATAAAAAAATATTTGATTTTATTTATTCTTAATTTTATCGATGAAAATAAGATTATTGATTTTGTCAATGATAAAATGTTAAATGTCGAGGAAACCAACGGAACCCAAAGTTCTCTTTCTTTCCCGACTGCAAGCAGCTGTTGTCACGATCTCCAGGTTGAATTCCCTTCTCCAAGAAAGCAGTCCTGTTGATTGCTTGTTCTGCATCAGACAGGCAATCCCAACGGCAACAGATAAGCAACCCCAACATCATCAACAGCACGATTCAAAAGCTGAACTCGATCTCCGTCAGTAGCAACCCTGTACTTAGCTGGGCGCCGCATCCTTCACCTGGATCCCCCTCAGGTACCCTACCAACTCCCGTGTGTAGTCCTTCACGCAGCTCGCCATATCCGTGATAGGCGGATATTCACGATCCTATCACGTGTAATCCATCCGGTTTGACTTGACATGTCATGAACTTAGTTGAAATTATCTAAGTCGTGAGGTACCCTCGTAGCAAAGTCACAAACTTAACTGAAGTTGCCTAAGTGATGAGACACCCTTGCTTCAACTCCTCGGACTTAGCAGGGATTACTTAAGTCATGAGGCACCCTTGTGACATATGCGGTTGTAAAGGTTTACCCTAGTTGCATATGCGTCTGCAAAGGTTCAGCATAATTGCAATCGTGTACAAGTCCCGAAAGACCTGTAAAAATAGAAAATTGATTAGATTGAAAATGAGCGACGGACAAGTCCCAACGTCTCGCGAAGAGGAAAGCTTTATAAACAATTCAATAAACACCTTAAGTGCAAGAGAGAAAAGAGGAAGGAGAAAACAATGACTTTAGAAGGTAGAACGAATAGTTGTAAGTTTACAAACAACTGCTCACTGGGTGCCGGGTGCGAAGGTAAGTTTCCGTCAAATTAACATGCGAATTTGTGAAGATCGTTCAACGCCTGACAATATATCGAAGCCACATCCAATCCTGTGCCACCCGTTCAGAGTGCTGAGATGGTTGACATTTCGCGTGCAATTGTGATATGCAAAAAACAAGTTGTGACACACGAAAACAAAACTATTTTTGGACAGTTTAGCTTGGCATAACGAGTGATCGCATTACAATACTGCAAATTATCGTTGCTTACATTTTCTAAGCAAAAACACATAAAACCAAGACAAAACATATTACATGTCTTTGTACAAGCATGCAAAAGCGACAAATGATTCATTGAACGAAATTGTTGTGGATGCGCACCGACCGTCAGTGACAGGACAACCATCGCCTCATGAAAACACTTATACAGCCATGAGGCGCTCACCATGCTAAAACCACTCGCAAAGAGAATTACTGCAGCCCGCCACGAACATGACGAAGCCAATCAGGAACCACACCAGGCTGGTCAAGATGATGATGGGGCCAAAGATGAGGGTGAGAAAGCCGACGACATGGAGGTGGACCATTGAGAAAGCCGAAGCTGTTCAGGAATCTGATGTCTAAGTTTCTTCAGAGAGTCAAAAGTCTGATGGCAAACACATCTAATGTGATTAGATCCTGAACTGAGAAACTGCATGTTCAAGCAAAACACATCACACGCGGAAAAGGCCATAGTGAAGGTGCAGCAAAAAAAAACTTTACAACATTTATATCACATTTACATAGGTTCATGAAAAGAAAAGTTCACAGTAATATCATCAATTATAAATGGAAAACAAAGAAGGTCGGGTGCTCATATTGCTTACAGAATTAACTGAGGGGCAAAGCTATTTACACAACTAAATGCTCAGATCATCACCATGCTGTACAAAATACAAGCTGCATGATCTTCTGAAGATCCCTAATCTTCCTTGAACACCTCCATCTTTCTTGTTTGAGCCTTGTACATGCAGGCGATATCAGCTGCAGTGCTGCAGTCTTCGGATTTCCTGTCCGACAAAGAACGTATGTATCTTGGAAGTCTCACTGAGATACCTCGAGAAGGGTGGACTAAGCCAACAGCAGCATGGTGAACTGGTGAGATTGTGAGGTCTGCCAAATATTGTTCGATTGTCATCAGAACATACAACTCCATAAAGTTCTATAGACCTTGAAGTACAGACATACCTGCGCCTCGTATTTCCCACACAAGCTCAGGGGGAAACCATAGATCAGGTGACTCGTCTGTTCGATAGTAAGATGGCTTCTTGAGCAATAATCTTTCGCCAGAAAAGAATTCCTTCATCTGTAAGTCAGTTAGGAGACTGACATACAGTCAACATCAATTACCAAAGTATCAAACAAATAGGATCATCAGAAATGGTCCCATTAGATATCTCGTAGATGTTTCATCACCAGATGACTTAGCATGTAACCCTAGGTTTTTACTCAAAATGTTATTTGGACATCTTCTACTTGTCTGGACTAGTAACAATGTGGATCCAATAAAATATATTACAGTAACATGAAAGTCAAACCTTGCAAACCACATCTAGACCTATTGTTGGGAAAAACAGGTCATGTCCAACATAGTCTCATGAAATAAGATTAGTTTTGTGCATAATGCAAGTCTAATGTTAGTATAAAAAGATTAATATGCAATGATACAAGTAAAGGACAGTGAAAAATGCTGCCAAGGCAACAGTGGCAGAGCAACAGTTCTATTTAGCAATTGTAAAAGGCCCTGGCATCTCTCGTATGAGATCAGATGAAACATGCGACTTTGAGAACTTGACATTCATATCAAATACGGTGCACAAAATCATAATCTATATGAATCAAATGATAGCATATATATGAGATTTTCATAATAAGGGTCTCAAGGACACAAAGCAATTGGGAAAAACACAAAAACCAAGAACATAGAGACACTCCAATATGATTGAATCTAAAAAAATGCACAAAAAACTCATTAACAGTGGACATAGGAACTCGTTTATGCAACCTATACATAGGAAGGAGAAGCTTAGTTCATTAATACATCTTTGCTTAGTCCATATTTGTTTAAGGTGGATGCTAATGAGATGATTCAAAGTACTTATTTTTCACTTTAGACCTGTGTTTCTCCTTATCTGCAATTAAGCACCATAAATTGTTTTCCAAATGACCAAATAATTCAAGAAATGCATTTAGTACAAGTATTCATGAAAGCCAAATATGAGGAAATCTCAGCTAACATAGGATGTTCAAATGTATGCAAGGAACAAAATCAAGTGACCCCCACTTAATTAAAAGAGTAAAAGACAATCAAAGATCTTTTATCTCAACACAAAATAAGCTCCGCCATACTTGCAATGTCTGCCATCACAAGTGATCCAGTAAACTACAGCTTCATTATAATTTTTAGTAGAAAAGCTAGCTCTATCAACTGGTGTGCAAAAGCAATGGAAGATAGACTTTGAACATTTGAAATGTTTAAATCATACCGACACTGATCTGAATATGTCGAATCAAATTTCAAAGTGCTATTTTGTGTTGGAATAGGTTAGCCATAGGAACAGACGGTAAGCTGACCAAAATACCAACAAGATTGGTTATCTATATTTCTATGATTGAGCATTTGGACAAATACCTCTAAATAGAAGGAATCAGAAAAACCAGACATAACACGGCAGATACTTTGATATTCTTCAGTATCAGAATTGTAGCATGCCATAAGGAAAGGACTGTACCTGAATTATGATATTAAAAAAGGATACATAATTATCCTCCTGCGAATTGGTGAAATATCATATATTGTTGCAACAAATTAACAAAATAGACATAAAAGCTCTACAATTCATACCATCCAGCTTTTCTACCATTTCCATACCAAGCACCAATAGGAACAAGATCAAAACTGTCACCTAATCCTTCAATATAATCACGTTTTACCTGTAGCAGTTGGTAGAGATGAAAAAAAAAAAGGGCAAAACAGATATATCTCCTATTCCTATATTTAAAACCCATGACTCAGAATATAATTTAAATACCTTTAACCATGCCTCACTACGTTTTGATGCAGAATATCCAGCATCAATATCCAAAGTCTTCACCATTATTCCTTCACAAGAAGATTTACATGCATCTTTGAAAAATAAGTTTATTCTAGACAATGTGTTTTGATTATTCAGACATGCTTCATCTGCTTCCACCTATAAAATAGCAGCATTATAGATAAATGTGTTACAATAGTTAGTGACTCAGCCTGATCGAAGAAGAATAAACAAAAAATGTTGTCTAAAAGAGGACTAACAGAGGGAACAGCAGAAACCATATGCATATGTCTATACATGTAAGCACTCTGGGAGATACATGTATACACATTTGTGAAAGTAGAGAATGGAGAAAGTGGAAAAATAAGGAAAGGTGGGATATTTTACAGTTATTTCCTTAGCAAACTCCAAGTAACCCATCTTTTCCTTATAAAACAAATCCTTCACATCTGTTATGTTGCAATTCAGACAGAAAATTAGAGTGACTTAATATGAAATAAGATGTGATTTCATATGTTCTTAAGGACATGGTCGATGTAAGAGAGAGAGATGTAGACTAAAATGACACATACACTTCCTCCTTTGACGAAGTGGAAAATCCAACAACCTGGAAAACAGAAAATAACTTAAAGACCTGATGCTGAAATTAATAATATCATGCTTCAGAATTCAAATAAACAATGACTAAATACTTAAGAAATATTCATCAATGCAAGTTGATGGTGCTAAGCAACTATAGCAATAAAATATACAAATGCCAGTATTTGCTAGGTCCTAGCTACCTGTGGAGTTGTTAATCTTGAAAGGTTTAAGAGAATTTAAATCTGCTGGAAGGTTGGGAAGTACCGTTCTCCATTGCAAAACATGATATCAAAGATGAACACGCAAATATCAACCTGTAAAACCATGTCTAATGTAGGAGAATGAGGACAATGATTCAAACTCCAAAAAGCATTAATAACAGAAAATTCATATGTAATGCTCAGTTAACAATCTTCATCTAATGATGGAGAATATATAATTTAGGTTGCAACAGTCACCAGCCAAAAATAACATAATGGGTTTACAAATTGGTACTCGTCAGCACATAATCAAATGTACAGTACAAGAGGTACCTACAAAAATCATGGCAACCCATGCAGAAGGTGCATGAATATCTTAAAAAAGGACTAATTAAATAACCACCATGAATATCTCAAAATCTCTAAAAGAAAAAAAAGATCCATTATATTTCATCACTTGATAGTAGACATTATATTCCACTGAATGACAACACAAGACTTTAGAGTCAGCAACACAAGTATTTCAAATCTAGACCTACATCTAATAAAAAATGCAAAAGCAAGGTTTCCCATCTGGTGCCAGTCCTGGCCTGGACTGGTATGTATTGACAAACCCAAAAAAACCTTAAAAAATACCTGAAAATTCAAAAACCATATTTTAAGCCTTTTAATTATAATTTAATGCAATTTCAATAAGAATAAGAGTAAAATTAAGAATTAGATATCAAATTTATTTTCGTTGTAGAACTAGAGGTCAAAGGGATCAATCTTTGGCTCCTTTAATTGAAGAGATCTTCCACCAAATGACATGTTTGATCGCTTTAATCCCTCCAAAGAACCTCTAATCACCAATGAGAATGAGAGGGGAGTTGTGTGAGTGAGGAGTGAAAGAGGGGAGTGAGGAATGATTTAGAGAGTAGAACCAGCCCCAAAACGGGATCCAACGATCAAATTGACCGTCAGACCAAGTTTAATCTCAGCCATTCATTTGGTACGATCGAGATCCAACCATTACTGACCAAAACATTTTGGTAACGACCATGTTTCAACAGTATTGCCAGAGATTTGAGAAGTATCTGGCGGTACACCCTGCCTGCTATATGTCATCTGATACGGGACGGTCCACATGTCAATCACTGGGTGGATTGGTATGTACCACATGTGCCATACCATATCAGGTGAAATTGCATTCCTTGAGCAAAATTATCCAGAAAATAGAATCAGTTTACTGTTCAGGTATAGTATTCACAATAGCATATTATTTATACAAGTACATTCAATATTTGAGATTTTAGTGCATCTTTGGCACCTAATGTCATCATACAGTGGATATGCCTTTTCTTTACTCCTAATCATACAGTTACTTTCTCTTCTAGTTTCTCTTTTTGTCAAATGATCCTGGTAATCACAGTGTAAGCCTTTCTAGATGTACTATTGTAGATTACAGGTTTTCTAAAGAGGAAAACTCATCTCACATGTTTGACTAGTATAGTAAAAGTGTAGGTATAAAAAATCTAAGAGGATTAATGACCCTACTAAAATTGGTGCTGATGAATTTAACAATGAATAGTTGGAATTAAAAATTAAGGCACATAATCATAGAAACAAATTAAGTATAATCCAGCATCCTAAACAAAGTGAAAAAAAAGAGAACAGAGAAGAAACAAATTACATACTCTGATGTTATCAATTTTTATCGAGGAATCTTTATTTCCTCTCTCCCGTGAAGATAGTTCTTGAAAAGACATGAGTTTCCCACCATTCTTTCTATCCACAGCAACAACCTGCAGAAATAATCTTTACAACTAAGAATCTGTGTAACAATAAAATAATATATTTCTTTAGTAAAAAAGTTTTTGGTTGTAAAAATTACCTCTGCATCCAATATAAAAGTAGAAACTTCATGTTTACATGATTCTTTAATTGTATCTATTAAATCCGGGAATCTAGAAGTTGTTTCCTTCATTTGTCGGGAAAAAACTCGTATAGATCCATCAGCTGCTCTGTGAATTTGAGCCCTTTGACCATCATATCTGAAATTAGAAGTTATTCATCAATAAATTCTTCTATTCCTTAATCAGGTCAAAAAAGCAAAAGATACTAAGATTGTTAAAAGGGAAAATGTCCTGACAAATAAGGCTTTTTTGGTAATATCCAAGTGATGGAGAACCATCGAGTTTTACAAAGGATTCAAAAAAGTTTATTCAGGACAAAGAAATCAACAAAAAGTTATCAATTAGTTGGCCTAGAAATTCTAAGAGTTATGTTGAAAATTAAAAAGTTTTTTGGTCTTTGTAGAGACTCTTGTATTAAGTGCACTCATTTACTATTCAAGTATTCTAGAAGTCACATTTTGGATTTCTAAACGGCATACTAATTCCTTAAGAGATTATACTTGGGAATCATTGTCTTTATTGACTATACTAAGGCTCCTAAACCCCTATAAATAATGGAGTTTATCAATGGATGACTTACTTTTTGAAACATTGCATTTCTACCTTGTACATCGCAACAATTAACAACCTCATTACCAAAAAGTAATTTGTTGATAGCATTAGAATCATGACTCGATGAGGTGAAAACCCAATCAATCTTGATGAATCCCTAAAGGGACCCTTAGGACCAAACTAGCAGATCATGACACAATGTTGAATCAGTTATGTGAACAAATGACCGAAGTCCTAAGAGTTTTCCAACACATTGAAAAATGACCCATGAATGAGGAAGTTGATGAGTCGATTATGTAACATATCCATTCTCCACAATCCATAGCTTCAAATCAAGGAATTTTACCCACTCCCGAAGCCTACTCAAGTGACCAAAACAAACTAGAAATTGAAAATGCTTATGTTACTGTTGTCCTCATTATTTTCTCTACTGCTAGTAATTCCAATGAATGGAAGAGGACAAGTATCTTCCATATTTTTATCCGAAGTAGAGAAAGAACTTGCAAATTGGGTATTGATGGGGTAGCACTATAAACATAGTCTCAAAATCTGCTATCAAAAGACTAAACCTTAAGGCAAAGTCATATCCGATCCCATTCAAAGTAGCCTAGGTTGACAAGACCACTCTACCCGTGGCCGAGAGATGTTTGGTACCAATCAAAATGGCCGATTACCAGAATAATATTTACTATGACGTCCTACCAATGAACGTTGCTTCTTTTAGGTCGGTCTTGGTAGTATGACCTTGATGTTACCAATCATAGGAGAGAAAACACGTGTGCCTTCGATATAAAGGCAAAAACATTATCCTATGACCAGCAAAACTATCAGAAAATGACAAAACAAGAACTCCCAAGTCTTTTCCACAAGTCCCAACCACCAAAGGATACTTATTGAATCCTAAATCTTTTGAAATAAAGAGCCTAAACAATAAATTTTGTGTGACCATCATTGCTAGAGAGATTCCTTGTCCTTGCACTATTCCTAACCTAACTATTGAGGCTAAATCTTTATTAGATAAATTTTCTGATGCCATACCCTTGGAATTACCTAGTGAGCTGCCACCCTGACGAGAAATCCAGCATGCCATTGACCTCCCAAGATCGCAACTCCCTAATCTCCCATATTATAGAATGAATCCTAAGGAGTGAGTCGAGTTAAACAAACAAATTGAAAAACTTTTGGCTAAAGGCTTTGTATGAGATGGTCTTAATCCTTGCGCTATTCCTGTCTTGTTAACCCTTAAGAAAGATGGGTCGTGGAGGATGTGTGGATAGCCGAGCAATTAACAAAATAACAATCAAATATCCCTTCCTGATTCCTTGACTTGAGGATATGCTAGACCTTCTCGCTAGTTCTAATTGGTTTTCGAAACTTGACTTGAGAAGCGGATACCACCAAATTCCTATTAAACCGGGTGACAAATGGAAAATAGCATTCAAAATGGAGAGTGGGGAGGGAAGAGGGAGAGAGAAGATAGATGAGAGATGATGGCAATGGAGGACAGTATAAGATAAAAAAAGAGTGGGATGATAATAGTGATGACTATCATTGGCTTGGGATAGCAGACTGAGAAGAGGGCAACAATAATTGTTGTTGGTGTTGGCCATAGAGAGAGGTGAGCGTAGCGGGGAGAGGGCGAGCGGAACAGGGAAGAGAGAGAATGGGCTGAATGGAAAAGGTGGAAGAAAAATGAGAGAAAAAGAAGAGAACAGGAGAGGAGTGTAGGAATGTAGGTGTGAGACGATGCACATGTAGGGAAGACCAATTGGGTTGCATGGGAGATAAGTCTGTGTTATGGAAGAATTGGATTTGGACCAAGTTGAGGGTTTTGGGTCAAGTTGGATGTTTGGATCATCCATATCAGCCCAAGCGAGCACTTGGGATGTCCGGCACCTTAGTTGAAGTGCTCAACTAGGTGGCCAAGTTGAAGGCATCCTTGCCCTAGGACCATGAAGTTGCTTGGGCCTTGCCTCACCTTTGTTGATCTAGGCAAGTGCCCAAGCACCTCTTGACATCGCTAATCTTTTGTATGTATAAATATACAACAACTTATCTAAAGTGATTAAGAATTAGTATGATGAACCATGGTTCGTCTTACTAGTCTGTACCGGTGTACCGACTAGTTGTCGATACGGTACGCACCGAGCTGCACTGAGCCATACCTAGCATATCGACACACGACACATGGAGGCATATCGATGTACCGCCCGTACCAGTCCCTCATTGAATCGGTACATACTACCCATACCGAGCAGTATGCTACGGTATGATGAACCTCAGATGAACCTTAACCAATAAACGAAGACAGACTTTGGGATATTCAGTGAAGTAGTTCAAAAAAATCAAGTAGGGAACATGAAAAGGTCTCACCACGTGCAAGGACTAATCTACATCCATCCCCAAAATTCTGTGATCAATTGAGTCTAGGGTAATAGGCTGCCCCTCTATTGCCATGCAGCTAACACTATGATAATTAGTGATACAAGGCACCTTTAGTTGCCAATTATACACAATATATCCAACTCACATAGAGAACTCAACTCATGATGTTCTTATGCTTCATGTCCATAAGCAAAGGTACTTATGAGCATGGTTTGCAGTACCGGTCCGACAGACTTTCGGTACGCGGACCATATGTTACCGTTCCGACACTGTAGCAGCACTGTAGCACTGTAGCAGTGATCGGCACGCCTGAATATACCGCTCGGTACACCTGAGTGCAAGGTTTGCCGTACCAGACTGTACCGCCCGGTACGGGCGGTACGTACCGGTCCGCGTGTACCGAGCACTGTAGCAGTGCACTGTAGCGCTGTAGTGCTGCTACAGTGCTCGGTACACCTGGGTGTACCGAGCGGTATACCGTACCATACCGGTACCGAGCCCGGGTCGAAACGCCGGTACGGTACGGTACGGCGAACCTTGCCTGGGTGTACCGAGCGGTATACCGTACCGTACCGGTACCGAGCCCAGATCGAAACTCCGGTACGGTACGGTATTGCGAACCTTGCTTATGAGTTACGACAGGTTGCAATCCAATTGGTCCCTGGTATTACTTTGGAACCATCATGCTGAAACATAATATCTATGAGCATTGTTGTTGACAGAAACAAGTTTCTATAGTTCAAATTTTCTACCAACATTAAACCTACAATACCTGACATATCAAATAAGATCCAAATGTTAGATGACTAACTTTATCACCAAGGATTCACATGATTTTGGGAAAAATATTTGTGTATCATATGCAAGTTAAAAAGGATAATGGTTTGTGCAGCCTCGTGAGCATCTTGACATGTCAATGATTAAGCTATTGTTATACCCATGCTGAAAATGATAACAAGCTAGATCATGCCATACAGAGCTGCACCATACATGCCTCGTAAACATATGCAAATGTGCACACTCGAAAGGTATGAACGATGCTGGAGAAGCTACATTTTAAATATCGAGACAAACAAATGTAACAAATCATGCAAAATAATAGACAGGAAGACGGAAAGTGGGGAAGCCCTCAGGCTCTACAAACCCATTCAATATACTAGGAAACAAGTTCACGACAAGTCAATCTACATAAAATAAGAGCAAGAAGAAGAGCATCTGTTGCCAGATTTAACAGTGAGCTGGCATTGATGGTGGAAGGACAAGGTTTTTAGTTGAATTTGAACAGAGAGACCAACTACAAAAAATTGAGTTTCACTGATATTAAGAACATAGCCCAACTTATTTTAGCAGGTTTAAATAGGTTCATGTTAAGAACTGCCACCCTAGGTCGTTACACTAGTTCAGAGTCCCACTGTTTCACGTTACATTCGAAATTGTATGAAACACTAGTACAGGTCCATCCATGGACTGATACCACCAGTCAGCATGGTAAGGTGGTCCATGGTTTAGACAATTTCACAATATCACTTACAGTAACTTCCCAATTCCTCCCATCTCTTACAAATATAAAAAATGTGCCTTGCAAGTAAACAAGTGTTCTAAATTTGAAGCCCTAACACCTAACTTTAGCATTTGAAATGTGCTAGGAAAGACTTCATTTATATTATCACTGTACTATCAGTCATCCAATATCTTGTGCCACAAATTTTATCACTGAAATGTTCAATTACTTAAGAAGACAAGAACAGGCTTATCACATGACAACATACTTATATTCACAGGTGAAAGCTCTACCCTCAAACAATTTCAGCACTTGCATAGCACCATTGGTAATTCTGCCAAATTTTAAAGAAAACCATTTAGGCAAATGTGAAGAAAAGAAATATGAGAAGGACAAAGTAATGGATTTACCTGGCAAGCATAGGTGGAATAGGTGTGCCAGGTGTCATTTGCAGTGAAGCTGCAGAAAAATCTATGCCTTTGCTCAAAAGAGAAGGAATAAGCAAATCCTGTTTGACCAACAGAAAAAGGTGAAATGTTGACGCATAAGCGAGTATCTAACATCTGTAAGCTTGTAACGAACACCTTAAATAAATTTTATATACAACAAAAAAATTTCCCAATTTCAGCTGGTTGAGAGTACTTGCACCATATTTTTTGGTCCTGTGCCTCTATTAATCCAAAGTGCAGAGGACAAATGCCCAGGGGCATCACAGAATAACACATTTACCTTATTATTTCATTACATTCCTTTTCTGAACTTCAACTTGGCTTATAGAGAGTGATAGGCAGCCTACCCGGTTTCAGCCAATTTAGACAAAAAACAGACTATCCAAACCAAAGTAAGATAATTTTGGAATATTTCAATGACTCAGAAAAAACATGCTTCATTGATACAAAACTACAGGATGCTCCAAAGATCCAACAGGAGCATATTCAAGTAACCACAAGATGAGCAACCTCCAAGTTTCATGGACGACTCCATATTTGATAAGTAGTAAACAGGAAATAAACAAATCCTACAAAACAAAAAAGGAAATGAATGACTAGTTCCATGAAAAAAATAACACTGACCAACTTCCTCCAAAAGAAAAACACCTTTGTAGACAGAGGCAACCATAAGACCTTGTTTTTGTAGTGGCAGATCAGTTCATGGTTCTAACCAAATGGTCACTCACTTGAAACTTTTGCTTCTTGGATATGAAATCTAACGTTTTGTTTCTATGGTGGAGTATCATTTACTTTTACGATGTCTTTTATATCATATGAAACAAAGTCAAATACCAACATATAGTTTATCTAAGGACATCTGTTTCTTGTTTTCTTATTTTATAAAAAATCATCTAACTGTTGCTCCTGCACTGTGGTTACCAGTAATTGAGCATAATTTGAGATACAGTCTTAATCTACGGACTAGTTGGAGCCCATGCTATTGCTCAGTAGAGCTACTTAAGCCAATGCCATTTTATAACATGCAATATATATGTTGCTGAAATGAGGAAAATAAATTTACCAACAAAAACAATTAATCAATAGTCAAAGAAATTACCAAATTCGGAAGCACATTGTATGCCTCAGCAACTGCTGCAGAAATACCCTGAAAAAAAAAAGGCCATCACCTTGAAAATTTACCCTTATACACAAGGTTTGCTGTACCGTGGCATACCGATATATACCGGTTTGATGGGGAACCGATATAAGTGGTACATTGGTACACTCTCATGTATCGTGTGTTGGTATACTCAATATGGCTCAATATAATTCGGTACGTACCATACCAATAGTTGATCGGTACACCGGTACGGACCGGTAAGACGAACCATAATTATGCATACAGTGATAACCATGGCTAAATAGCAATTTCCAAATACTGACAAAAGCAAACAGTAATGCAACCATCAAATATCTTTCTCATATCAGAAAACGCTGTTAAATAATTATAAGAAGTAGAAGAACTGAATATAATTTGATTAATACCAATCATAGTAACAACGAATTGTTATTTCGTGTAGGACCATATCATTACCATTTTGGCAATGTGGAATAGTTCCGGAATTAGCCTGGGAATGTCAACATCATTCACATGACTCAACACAAGCATATTGATAGGACGGCGCATGCCGACCTGTGCAGACATGTGTTTAGCAGCAAAGCAGTTCCACTAGGCCATTAAATTTGTTTTAAGCAAATGAAGAAACATGTGCATGTTAGTAACAAAGACAACTAGCAAAAGTGACATTTAAATAATATCAAAAGTTTAGTTATAGTGGCTATTGACTAACAGCACATGTGAAATCCAAGGTTTCAAATTTCCACCATATCGATCAATATGGGCCAGTATTCACTAGTTCAACCAAGCACTGGTATAGAAACATATAGTTTGATACCAATATAATATAATTCACTTTTGAATTATTTTATTCAATGATGTTAGGAGGTAATAGTCTGGTATACTGGTACCATATAGGTCCGGTAGATCACAGAAACCAGTATCAGATCCAGATTTAATACATAGTAAATCAATCAAAGATAAGTTAAATCTGCATTAAATTAGGCAAATATCACCTTTTAACCATTAGCTATTTTAAGCATCATAAGAAGCCAGCTGTGGATACAAATATTTCTTAGCCACATTCATGACCAATTTGAAATCATAAAAATAATCAAGGAATAGATAATAAGATGCATATACAACCAATGGTGTTTGCTCAAAAAAATATGCCTCAGTAATGTAGTCATATTGTGATGAGCATCTCTAGCAGACATGCACATTCACAAATCACAGAGTGTCTCGAGACAGGCACATAACATGCATGTCTTTCACATGGCACATGTCCAATATTATATTATACAATATCTCCAGTGATTCTACAAAAAAAACTTTACAGTGGCAGAGCACACATGGAGACCAACATGATTGTGAAAATATGATATTCAAGCTAACATGCAAGTATAAGTGTTCAAATTGAACCCCATGAGCCCCAAATGTCCTGTAGGATGAGATTCTGGATTGTATGTGGACCCTGATAAATCATCATTTAAGTGGGAGAGATTAATAACCCACAAAAATGGTAGGCCATAGAATGAGATAGTACATAAGTCACTAACCACTCCCAAAAGGCAGCTTCTCAATAATTCTTGAAAATAAAGCCCATATGATTTCACACATGATGGTAAGCTTTCCACGTGGAAAACCCACGGAAGTTTCAAGACTATATTTGGGACATCAGCCAAACTCTAGTGGAAGATAATGCGATCAATAAATAATTCCACATTAGGACTTCACAGCAGAGAACTTAGAAATGGGAAAGCATAAACCTGCTAGCAAAAGTCAATAGTGTCAGCATACAATTCTGACAATATTGACACAATTTTAATTCTATTTATAGGATCTTTGAATCATTATTCTTTTAAACTAACAACTATAAATTCCCACCTAAATTATAGAGAAGACAATGCTAATATTGTGCTTTAATCCCTATTTAAGAACTAATTCATATTCCATAAAAACCATTCCAAAAATATAGTAGTGTTTGTCTGTGCAGATGATATAAAGTTTACACTTTACAATACTAGATTTCTATAACAAACTGTGAAGCTAGAAGCCTAGAACAAAAAACATATATATTCAAAAGCTTGAAAAAAATTCAAAGCTAGACTTCTGAAGAGACAAAAGATCAAACCTGAAGCTGCAATCTAGTGGTCTCAGAAATTCCCACACATTGTAAGGGGGAGTGACTGTTCAGAACCACTGCTTGTGCTAGTGCTGGCAAAATGGTCTTCATCATGGCTCCAATACGCAGATTACGAACCTGTACAAGCAAATAAAAGTGAGAAGTAGGACAAAAGGAGGAAAAGGAGAAAAGAGAAAACATAAAAGAGAGAAGAAAACAGAGGTGAAAAACTCAATTTTCCATATGAGTGTTTCATAGTTGACAATGATAAAAGTTCCATAATAATCATTTAACACGGTGATTTCAAATGGCCAGTCAAAAGCTACATGACAACTTCTGTTTCTAAATACTTCCATGTGCCACTGGTACATTATATGATAAAAAGTTGCTTTTTAAAGATATTTAAAAAATTATACAATCTAAGTTCTATGACATTCCCTTCAAACCTGATTGATTAATCTCAAGCTAGTAGGAAACGCCAAGGTTCAAAACAATCAGACCGGTACCTACTGACCAGTATTTTATCAGTCGGATCAGGAATCCACACTAGTTTTTAATTTTTTTTAATCTGAATATTTGTTGAAAGCTGCCAAAAGCTGTTGGCTGTCAACAGCCCTACTGTCATTTTCCTTCTCCTCTCCTCTTCTCTTCTCTCCCACTTTCCCTTTATTACATGTTGACCAGTAAGCCGGCATACCCTATGCCAGTACACGGGCATGTACCAAAACTGTGCAGACCAGTATGGATTCCAAAATGAAACTTGAAACCTTGAGAAACATGCAAGTTAGATAAACAAATATTATGAAACATAAAACTAGAAAAACAAAGATAACAATCTCACCAAGGTTCTGACAAGAAATTTTATTTCCATTTCTCTACAGGAACGCATGAGATTTACAATAAGGTTTTTCCTCCGGACAGCACTTCCAGTACCTGTGATCATACTAATCAAGGCAGGAACAAACAATGGAAATTATTCAGTTGCTGTTTTGGAAGTAAACCTAATAAATATGGATACAAAATTAAAAATGTAAGTTAATATGCATCCAAAGATTACAATATCACAATAGCAATAAAAAAAGTTTCTAATTTTAATTTGTGAACCAGTAGAGATGGAAAATCAATAGACCACAAATTTTGACCCAACAGTTCTCAATCATCAGATGTAAGAGGCAAAAGTTTTCAGTACCAAAACTTCTGATCAAAACTTCAAACTTGAATAGTTGCACTATGAACTTAAGTTTAAGATAAGGGACAAAAGGTAAAAATGACTATTAATAATTGAAGTGACAATATGATGTACTAGGTGAAAAATTAACGGCCATGGAGCCAGTAAATATGATCAAAAAAAGCAATTTAACCACTCTTAAAAGGTACGTTCCTGAATAATTTCAAGGTAAGTAGTCTATCAAATCGACCCAAGGAGGGCCTTGAAAATTTAGGTAGTATGGGTAAGCCATTCTTTTATCCAAGTATTGCACAAGTGATCTTTGCAATAGAAGTAATCATGAATATCAACCCAATAGCCTACTATACCAGGCTCCTGCAAGTGCAGGATATTGAATAGTCAATGTACATAGCCTACAACTGCATGTAAAAAGACTACTTCTATCTCCAATGCTGATCAGCCAAGAAGAAAAGGAACAACCTCACCATGATGACAAGCCTTGCCCTCAAAAGCAAAACCAACAAAAAATAACTTAAGCAAGGATTTACAGACAAAACCATACAGCACCCAGTACAAGGTACACTGAGTCACTGACCATACTGAGCCATACAAGTTCAACAATTGAGTACTATTTGTTAGAGACAAATATTCAAAACTTTCATTTAAATGTAAATAGAATATATACTGGTATGATACCAGTTTTGATATTTGATTGAACTGATATGTTACCAAAATATCTAGCATACCCACTTACAACATTCAGTATCACTTAAAAATGGAGTATAAAGCAGTATGAAACTATATTACTGTTATGGTGTTTTAAACCATAGTAAATAGTTCATATTGTATTTTGGTCCCTGTTTGGTTTAAGTCCATCGAGGGCTTGATCTCATAAACCTAAACATCTATTTAGTCTCTTCTACTGTGACTCCATCAAATCCTTTAGCATACTTAAGCTAGATCTAAATACTGGGTTATATATGAATGTTGTATAACACAAAAAATGTTCAAGCAAAGAACATATGGTAACTAAGTCTAATATTAATTTCTTTCATGGTTATGAGTGAAACCAACTTTTAGAAGTTTCAGTGATTTTTACTAAACTTGGATGTGAATGAACAACTTAGTCTTCAAAATTTCTCTCGTGTTGTTAGCTTACCCTCTAGATTGTCATAATCTCCATGTTATGTTCTTGATGCTTCAAAATTCTCACGGGCATCAAGACAAATGGCATGCATTCACAGGTGTTGAATTCCAAAAGTTCCTCTATAACTTAATCATTGATCTGTTTAAACAGGATTTGTTAAACAGTTGAGTTCAGGTCAAACAACAGATAATCATGGTCTACCTATAATTTTAACTTTCACTTATCCTAGCCAGGCCATAAATATTTCACCAAGTCATACTTAGACTATTCAAGTGGCACTGATGAATTTGACTTGCATTTATTACCAACCAACCCATAAATGAAAGCAACATTTCATTCATGCTGGATTACCAACAAAAGAATGATAAATAGCTAAGTTTTGCCATAGATGATCACAAATAAATGGTGTTAATATGAAGTCATGTTCAGTAAAGGTAACCCAAAAAGTTGAACATATAATGATTGTTATCACCAAAATGTACTAAATCTTACAGATTAAAACACTTTTGCATACTACGAGGAGGATGCTTTTGTCTCCTTCCTTCAGGGACTTAGCTATGAATCCTAAGCACATATTTAGCTAGACCCTACCTGTAATTTGACCACAGAAAGACCTGGCAATGGCCAGTAATATAGCCAAAGAAATATCCACAATATTTCCAGAAAGACACACATAAAAATGTGAGTAAATACAAATGTTATCAAAATTAAATAGTGGCAAAAGATTTATTCATTGGAAAGATTATTATAACTGAAAACAAAAAGCTTTCCTGAGCTACGAAGGCCAGATCAGCAAACTGAAATTGAATTCACCAGACAGATACCTGATCTCTCGAAGCATACAAAATAAATGATGAATTGAAAGTGTACGAGGAGCAGCAAGTAAAGACTGAGTTTGCCGGATTTCTTGTGCTACATCACCTTTAAAATATTCCATCAATCAATACAGCAAAAGATCATAAGTTGATAATTACCAATATATAGCAATGATCTTACCAAGATCACCTAATGTGTTGTACATTTCTTTGATTCTGGACCTGTTCATGCCACAAGCCTCTTCCAGTGCAGTTACAACCAAACTTCCACCAACATTCAGTTCCTAGGTTCATAAATTTATACTCCATTACTTGTTAAAGGCAGCAACAAGAATGAAACAATACAGCATATAGAAATTTACAAGTCATGAACATCAATAAACAGATAATATTTAACAATGACATCATTGTTGAAACTTATTTCATATTCAAATGTTTTAAATTGATATAAGAAGGGAAAACAATTCTTGTCAAAATTTGAATAAAATTTTGGAAAGTTGTAAAGTATTCGGCTTAGCAAGTTCCTTAGAGAGAAGATAAGACAACACTGTCCAAAGATTCTAAAGCTGACAGAAGACACTACCCTGTTCATTCCAACATTATCAACTCAAAGCAGGCATCGAGCATTTTGTCAACCCAATAATCTTAAATGGCATTTAACCAATATTGCAAGTGTAATTCAAATAACATAGTGAAGATGCAAGGTGTTAATCTAGGCACTCATCTGAGCAAAGAAAAACACTCACATTATGAAATTATAAAAATTATAATTAAGGATAACAGATAATAACTCAAACAACAAGGAGTGGAAGACAACAGGCAGAGGAGAAAAGAATAAGAGGAAAGAGGGTAAGAATGAGGAAGAGGGAAGGGCAGCTGAGCACTATTGGAGAGAGGAGAGAAAGAAGAGGAAAGAGGGACGGAAGAAAAGAGGATAGGGAGAGAAGAAGAAAGGAGGTTTGGTTTGGATTGGGTTTGGATGAAACACAATACTAAGACATGACACTCGCCTAGGCAACATCCAATACAGGCACTTTGCTCAGATTCCATCAAGGTTCTCATGTGAGTTCACATGATATCACCGATAGAATCCATCCCTAAAACCATAAAAGGGTCTCCCTGATACACGACAATTTTTTTTAGTGAAATGACAGATCATTGTGAAAGACTACTTGACGTCAACAACTTCACTAAAGCCCTTCCAATAGGGAACCAAGATGAACAAACCTTGAACTAAAGCATCATAGACTCAATAAGGTGTTCTAAAGTCATATAGTCAAAGCTAGTTTAAAAGAAAATCAAATTTAACCCATTGTTAATGAGCATAAAAAAAGTCTGCCCATCAAATTTTGATAAATTGGTCATTTCTGGACTGGTTCTTGAAATGTGCAATTTCAGCGAAATACACTAACCCAAGGACCTGGAGTTGATCAAGATAGACAATCCTAAGAGATACCTGTCCACTAAGAGGTAATGGTCCAGAGGCAGAGAGGTGCTGCCAGATTAATGACACGTGAATACGGCCGGTGCTGGTCCCAAGCCTCAATGAGAAAGACAGAGGGTTGTATTAGGTCATTGACAACCGACATAAAACTACATTAGGTCTGATAATCATGACTTATGGTTTTGTTGTTGTTGTAATAGTATTTTATTATAATATTATGGATACACATGTATTGTTGACTTTGTAGCATTCTTTAGCTAGATCCTTTTTGTTTCATGAATTTCTCAGTTTTCTTTTTTTTTTTCTGTGTCATTTATTTTTACCCTCTTTTGACAGAAACAGCAATCTAACAATCAGATTAAATCCATTAATGATGAGCCAGAAAAAGGGAAATTATTCCCAAACATAAATTATTGTACAAGCTTCAATCTCTTCAAACTATGCTGCCTACTGCTTCCCTTGTTGCTTATAATTGGAACAACTACCACCCATCCTCCCACCCCTCAACAAATTCACAATTATTCCTTCCGTAAGCACCAACAATGAGGAAGATGCATATTGAGTTTCTATGACAGCTAATTTTCTAATCTAATACTAAAATCCATTCATAAATGGACATCACCAAACTTACCTATCATGATTGGAACTTTGTTGTGCTCGTTTAACTTAAAGGAAGACTTTTATCCACTTAAACTCCATACCTACAATTCTTGAAAACATGCAACTTGGAACTTTCTAACATCATCAAATAAATCAAATCAGGACAACAATGATAATAAACAGGGCATAATGTCTCAACTATTTAAGATCAGCTACAGAGAATTTTTCCTTCCAATGAGCTTCACACAATTACCTAAAATAAATTCCCAAAAGAAAATTAAAAAATCAAAATTGAACTGAGATCACTAAGATCACTAAGAAAAAAACTGATTAATTGTGTGCATATGCGCTACATATGAAGTCTAAACTAATCCTCTAGATTGATTGTTTGCTTACGGTGGTTTAGAACATCGGGTATTGGTGAAATCATTTTTAACCCTTATGAGATGGCAATGTTTCAGTACATGATATTCAACTAAGTTATTGATAAGGACGGCTTTGGCTGCCCTTCAACATCTTCACAACAAATTCAGGAGACAGATTTCTATCTTCCATCTACAATTAGTTGAAACAATTTGCCTCGAAATTCACCCTATATATCCAATACATTTGCATCTTTAGTAATCAGTACATCATGTTGCTTTTTGTATGGTTGTTCCAACGAATAAACAAGGAAAACACCTTCCATCTTTATATCCACTTGTTTAAGCTTGAAGCCCACTCCGAACCCAACGTGTGCATGGTAGCATAAAATGCACCACACCATCTCTCCGTGGTCCTATAACTGCCCTAAATAGAACTTTTGTACTGTCAATCAATCATAAAGCTACCTAAATCGCTTGCCATTCTAGAACAGTTAAAGGAAATATAGAGTACAAAATGAGGATATTTTTTTTTACAAGAAAACCATTCGTCCGAGTAGTCCAAAAATTACTAGGCCCTAGAATAAAAACTCACCATGTTTTCATGGTCAGCAGCAATCTTGTTTGTGCACAGATATAAAGCAGGCAGCACATCACCAGGAGACAAAGCAAGCAAGCTGCAAGAAATAAGTTAGTAGCCCACCAACTGCTTGAACACTGGTTCATTCCAAGACCGACCGAGAGGAAATATCAAGGGCACCTTCTGAACATATTACTCAGCATAGATGTGGTCTTTATCTTGCCTCTTACTTGTTCCACTAAATCAAAAGTCAGTGCCAGGTGCAAGTAGGGAGCAGGTTCTCCAGCTTTCCAGCATGCTGAAATAAAATTGCGACACTTGTCATGTAGTTATGCATGCCACCAGATGCAATATAAAGATGGCTCCCAACTGACTTCATTAAGAAAATGCAATACAAACCATGCTCAATTGGAGAATATTTTTCAATAGGTAATGATACATTAGCTGGAGTTTTGTCTTCTCTTGAACTTCCCTGTAGATACAATGTTGGCAAGCTTATTTTGTCTTCAGAAGAATTGCTTACCTTTTTGGTACACTTATTTACAAGAACACCTGAGACAACAACTTCCGAGAGTAAATTCCCCTCATTCTCTAATATATTACTGGAACCACTATAATACATATCAACTGCTACGTCAATATTTCCTCTAACCTTCTCCAGCAATAAGGCAGCAGATTTTCTTGGCATGCCATTATTTATGATCTGGAGAAACTGATCCAACTCTTCTTTATATGTTTCAATAGTAATCTGCTGATTAGAAGTAACAGCACAAGTATCACTGGAAGAAGCACCCGATGCAACTCTTCTGAAAAAATTTGTGATGGTAGATTGTTTGCCTCCACTTGATTCTAGATTTGAGCAACCTTTTGCTTTCTTTTTTTTCTTGTTTCCACCACCTAAACCCCTTTTTTTGGCCAGAGATGGAGTAAGCAGGCGTAAATTTTGGTTGGTTGACTGTTTCACTTGATCAAGGAAATTCTTTCTACCAGATTCAGGGGCTTCGCCGACAGACTTCAAAGGAAGCAACGGCTCGAGGTCAGTGTTAATGCTTTTACAAGAGCTAGCAATAGAAATGTTACCAGCATTTGCTTGCTTATAGAATTCTGTTTCATGCTCAAAAAATTCTGAAACTGCACTAACAAGATCCCCATTTGACCTTTTCAGCAGATCTAAAACTTGATCCTGTTTCACCCAAGACGGCAAGCAATCTTGAAGGTCCTCAACTACTCCTTCCATTTCTTCATCATTCACCATATGCAGATCCTGTGAATCAGATTGCTGGCATGACCTTATTGATGTTGCAGTTGGATTGTCCACCATGTCCACATCCTCTTGCTGGTTTCTGTTACCTGTCATGTCATTCCCAGCACTTGTATCAGCACCCTCTGACTTCCGATGGAAAGCCATTAGAAAATCATGCTTGTTTGCTGTCTCATCAACCAGCCCTGCAAAATGCTTCCTCATGGCTAAAGCATGCTTGCTGTCTAGCTTTTCAACATCCATTCCCACAGTTGGGATGACCCGTTTTGGCCTCAAGAACCTCACGTATTCTCTTAATTCATTATAGTTTGAATGTTCGCTGTATGGAACTAGATGAATCTCGAGTAGATCTTTAACCCTCACTGCAAATCCATCCCTCTTTGTCTCGTTCAGCCACCCTGTTGAAATGAAACCCACCGCCTTGTTGTATCCTCTCTCAACCATGATCTCCTTCATCTTCACAAAATTAGGCCTGAAATAAGGCCAAGTCTCACCCAACACATTCCAACCAATCACGTGGATGTCACTGGCTGAAGCATCCTCCGTAAAAACGCCTGAACCAGCAAACCCCAGAACAGACAAAACCTGCATCTTCCTGTTATCCACTTGCAGTAGGCAACCACACCGACGAGAAATCTCAAGCAAAATCTTCTCTTTCCCGATGACATAAGTTGCGATCAAGAAGAGAACCGATTCACCTGATCCCTCATTTTGTTCCTTAAATCTTTTGACTGTGTTGACAATGTATTCCACTGACTCCTCTTGTGAGGGGAAGACAAATTTGGGGTTGCAATACGTTGTGTCAAGGAAAACAGCATCCGCGCCAACAAAATCGCATAAAACAGGGTCCAATGTCATCTGTTCATGGAAACGGAAATCACCTGTGTGGATAAACCTCTCCGGTCGCTGCCCTTCGCAGACACGGGTCCTGAAAAGGAACTGGACAGCGCCGGGGCAGTGATTGGCGTCGACGGCGGCCACCTCCCATTCGTCGATCTCCGTGAACTCGCCTAAGGACAGGGAGACGACGAAGAAAGGCGACACATTGAGGATCTCGACGAGGAGGCGAGCGGTGGTGGCGGAGCAAAAGATAAGGCCTTTGCACCAGGCACTGCCGAGGCCCGCGTAGTGGTCGGAGTGGAAGTGGGTGAGCAAGTAGGAGACGGAGAAGTCACCGGCGGAGCGGAAGCCGTCGACGACGAAACGGGTCCGGGGGATTAGCTTCGAGAGCGGGAAGTCAGAGGGGACCGGAGGGAGCTGGGAGCCATCGGAGAGGAGGCGGAAGGCGAGGGGAGGGGAGGGTGGAGGGGAAGGGAGGGCGGCGGAAAAGGAGCGGTAGGAGGAGAGGAAGAGGGAGGATGTGGAGAAAGGAGGAGGGGGAGTGGCCATGGGATCATTCGTGGAAGAGGGTTCAAGAAGGAAACACGCGAAAGATTTGAAGACTCGAATAAAGCGAAGGATGAGACGGCTTATATATTCGAGCTCTATTTGCATATCAGCCGTTGAATTCCTGTCTTGCCTTGACATTAATTTATATCATCTGCTGCTCTGCTGCTGCTTCCTTCTCTGCTCTAAAACCACATCGAATAGCTACATGTCTATAATAAAAAATAAGCCAACGCTGGGAATGATACAATCCTTCTATATATCTAATGCTGCTCTAAAATCACATTGAATCGCTGCATGTCTGTTGTCTATATGAATAAACAAGCCAACACTGGGAATATGATACGATCCCTCTATATATCTAATGAATGTCAAATTTCTTGGATCACACATCTGATTCAGAAAGGCCCAAAGTTGTCTGAGAATGTAACCCAACAGCAAAAATGTGTTGTAAAGCAAATAGTATTTTAAAGCAAACACTGTTTACCGATAGTTTCTCCATATCAAACCTGTTTGGTGAACTCTCACAGTGAATTGACGAGTTAGTAGCGACCTTGATGTTTTTAAACCTGCTGAACATCAATATATAGACAATCCCTCTATATATCTATCGATTAGACGAAAAAAATACACAAACATATTGTTTCAATGAGATAGATATAGTGCCATATGGTTGCCAAGAATTAATTAGATCTCAACACGGCAAAGAGAAAAGGCACAACAAGTCCACTGGACATATGCTTCCGGTTAACAAAACTTAGAATTGTTTTATAGCTCAAAACAGTTGAGATTGCAACACTCAGAACGGTGTTTATCAATTCCATGTCTGACATCCTTTCCCAAAAGAACTTCAATTATGTAGCAACCGATTTTAACTTGTTTCAAAGACATTACCATTCCATAACAAATAGGACAGACAAGAAATGCATAGAGCAAGTGAAGATGATCACTCAACAATGACGGTCAAAACTCCTGTACACAGCATACCATCGGAAAACATGAAAATTGGGATATCAAGAATGGATTGGTATCGTTGAGCTTATTTCTCTAACACAAATAAGATTGGTTATTACAAATTCCAAGAAGTTTTTGAGAGTCAGAAACATCAAACGCTCCAGACAAAGTTCTGCAGTACGCAATGCACATCACTGATCCAGTCGCTTCTGCTTTGCAATATTTGATCATCATGAAGTGAATCAACAATCAGGAAATGTTGTCTCCGAATGACATTGATATGGGACTCGGATATGCCAATTAACAAAAGCTCGAGAAAATGGAGCATCTAAGGCAACCCCAACCTTAGTTCCATAACCAAATAGATCCAATAATTGGAGAGGCAAATTTTAAGAAGTCAAAACCATCCATTCTTTTCAGATGTTCAGAATCTCTTGTTGGTCTCATATCAACATGTAAAAATTGCTGAAAGAGCAACTAAAAGTGCTAGAAATAAGGTTTTCTCCAAGTCAATGAGTAGAAAGACCTCACATGGATCTCAAATAAAGAGAAAATTGAATTGCCTAAAATAATAGATATAAAATGACCAAAGTGATCAAAAAAGGAATTGCAGTCATCTACTTGTCGTTTAGGGGGTGGACTACACAAGGCTCTCGATAATGTGTGAAAGGACGGTCAATGTACATAGACTTACTCCTACGAGTAGAGAGTTCCTTTTCTATACCATGAACCTGGTCACCTAGATATCAATGAAACAACCCTATCATGACACCAATGCTCACCCTCCATCTATTATACACTATCAATATCCGGTCTTATTCCTACAAGCAGAGAGTTTCTTTTCTATAACATGAACCTGGTCACCTGGATATCAATGAAACAACCGTTTCATGACACCAATGCACACCCTCCATCTCTATTTATACACTATCAATATACAGTCTTACTCCTACAAGCAGAGAGTTTCTTTTCTATAACATGAACCTGATCAACTGGACATCAATGAAACAACCCTATCATGACACCAATGCTCACCCTCCATCTATTTATACGCTATCAATATACAGTCTTACTCCTACAAGCAGAGAGTTTCTTTTCTATAACATGAACCTGGTCACCTGGACATCAATGAAACAACCCTATCATGACACAAATGCTCACCCTCCATCTATTTATACACTATCAATAATTCAATATACAGTCTTACTCCTACAAGAAGAGAGTTTCTTTTCTATAACATGAACCTGGTCACCTGGACATCAATGAAACAACCCTATCATGACACCAATGCTCACCCTCCATCTATTTATACACTATCAATATACAGTCTTACTCCTACAAGCAGAGAGTTTCTTTTCTATAACATGAACCTGGTCACCTAGATATCAATGAAACAGCCTTATCATGACACCGATGCTCATCCTCCATCTGTTTATACACTATCAATACACAAATCCTAACTACTATAGTCAAATTTATCTAGCACTTGAAATCCTCTTCTTTTTATCCTGCTCCTAATTCCTTTTTAATAGCTAAACAACACTAAAGTTTCTTTTAGTGTTGGTGGACAACATTCAGGGTCAAACAGGAGTTACTCAAGCCTATGGGCCATGAAAACCTTGGTTAGATAGCGATCACAATCCGTATCTTGATAGGGACCTAGGACTCCTGGGCTATGTTTCCCTATTCTGCCTGAGTCCTCCTGCTGGACCTGATGAGTAAACAAGGAAGAGGGCCCAGTTCCTGAATTGTAGCCACAACATGGTAAAACTATATAAAGATGTATTGCACAGAATGCAGCATTGCTCAGCTCCTGATGACCAGCATAAGATTTTGACTTTGCTGTAGGGTTATTTCATATACCAGGTAAAGAGAAAATAATGAGTCATGAACTCAGCTTACTAAGGTGTGTTTTTGCATGTGTTGAACGAGTCCTACAACTCTACTTGTCTCCAGATGTTCCAGGTTGATGATATGCACAAAAATCCAACTTGAGAAAGCAACAAAAATATCACAATCTTTTTTAGCAGATAGAACATGCGGAAAAGATAAACATGGGACAACAGCCTGCAGAAAATAGATGGCAGATAGAACAACTTAATGATGAAAGATGATTCCACTAATTTCCTACAGCTAAAAAGCTTTAGCATTAATTTCTGGATCAAAATACCACAAAAGGAATTGACATAGATGCTTCTGTATAGTCAAAATCATGACCAATTCACAGAAAATTTTCTGCTGCAAATTTATATTCTTTCATCCTAAAAACACAACAGGGAAACAAGAAAGATGTTTTCCAAACTTCACACTATTAAGTAGAAATCACTACATTGGACTAGGAGGATCAGAGACTTCAATATTGCATCTGCCTTTTCTTTTGAGGCTGCTTCTAGCCAGCAACATGAACGATGGGAACAACTGGTCAAGAGCCGAACATAATTTCAACAGATTCAACCTCAATAAGAAAGTTAATCATATCTAATCAGTGAATTTTGCACCAATTGTCAAAAATCACATTTAATCTCTACATGTCTATATGAATAAATAAGCCAACACTCGGAATGATACAATCCCTCTATATATCTAATGCATGTCAAATTTCTTGGATCAGACACCTGATTTAGAAAGGTCCAATTATAAACCGATGCAAAGTTGTTTAAGAATGAAACCAAACAGCAAATTGTGTTGTAAAGCAAATATTGTTTATTGAAAGAGAATATAGTCTCTCCATATCAAACCTGTTTAGTGAACTCTCGATGAATTGACGACTTACTAGCAACCTTGATGTTTTTAAACCTGCTGAACATCAATATAATGATCCAATTGCTCTTACTGAGTCCAAGGGAACACTATCAATTAGACAAAAAAGTACACAGAAACATATTGTTTCAATGAGATATAGTGCCATATGGTTGTGAAGAATTAATTAGATCTCAACACAGCAAAAAGAAGAAAGCAGCAATAAATCAGCAGTCACACGAGGCACTCGTTAAGTGTAGCATAAATGAATGGTGTGTCCAAGTCCACTGGACATATGCTTTCGTTAACAAAACTTAAAATTGTTTTATAGCTCAAAACATTTGAGATTGCAACACTCAGAATGGTGTTTATCAATTCCATGTATGTAATTTTAAATCTGTAAAAACTAATTTTAAATCAAAACATAAAATGAGTAAATCAAAACTAATTTTATATCAAAACAGAAAAATAATTTTAAATCAACAACTTATTATATTAATAAACAGAAAAAAATGAGAAAAAAAACTGTAATTTTAAAGCAAAACTAATCAAATCAATCATCTCACCTTTCATTTCTAAATGATCTTTAGTTCTATTTTTGCTTCAAGGGATTATCAACCTTATTAACATAAACTGTAATTCGGATTTGTTCCCATCGTTATAAAGTATATCTTCTTAAATTAACAAAATCTCCAATTGGAATTCTTTTCCATCCTTACAAAGCATCTTCAAACAAAGATATTTTCACATATGTTTTCAGCTCAACTTCCTTTTTTATTTTTAAACAACCTTAGTAGCTAAAAAAAGAATTCATAAGATGATTCCATGTGACAACTAATTATATTAATAAAAACTCTTGAAATATGAACTTACTTTTAAAATAAATTAAACTAAATAAGTTCCTGCATCATAAGTTTATGATGCATGGGAACCCATGTTGAGTTCATATGACCAATTTTGGACCAATCTCAATAGGACATCTTCGATAAATTAGAAGCTCAGGTACCAATTTGATAGGATGAATTGTTTTAATGACAATATAATGTAGAACAGTTTACTCCAATACCAACATGTTATAGGACAAAAACATAGATAGGCAAAGGGATTCATATGCAAGGCCCTAAATCCGTAGGCTATATATACATCACTGACCCTAGAGAATGAATGTGGCAAATGTGCATAGATTTTTTGACATGTTCTTAACAGGACAACAATTAAATATAAATCCTTGCTTCTATTCTTGATGAAATCCTCAATATCAGCGCTTGGTTGGTCATTGGTGGCATTTTCTGAAATATGTAGTCACCACGACATAATTTCATTAAGAGGACAACAAATAATTTGTACCAAGGGTGAGACACTACTAATCAGTCATAGTCGCAACTCGCAAGCACATTTTTTGTTTGAAGGTGTAAGCAGCTGCATTTAAACATACAGTGCTAAATTGTATCCTTGAGTGGTTATTACACATTTTTACTAAACATGCATTTAAATCATGATGTTTAAGAAACAAGTTTAATGCCCTATTATAGACAGTTATCTAGTTGTCTATCTCAACTACTTTCTTGTCCAAACAGGTCTAGATAAAGCAACCTATTACATTGCTTCGGATGTTTAAGGTACTCCACAATAATTTCTAGAAATGAAGCCATATGCAGGATGCCTAAATATATACATGCTGACACATAAATGAAACATAGGTGGCCCCTCTTTATAAAAAAAACTTTACAGAAGGTCACTAAAAACCAAAAAAATATTGGAAATAAATTAAAAATGAAAAGAATAAAGAAAACTTCATATCTAACTATCAGTATTATAACATTATTAGACAAATTATTTGTCATGAACAAACATATAATATGATGAATTCAGTGAAGAGGCAAGTCAAGAAGTACAGATGAAAAGGCTAAGAAAAACACAGATGAAGAAATAAAAAATAATTATAATTATAATATGTAAATTAAGATATTTATTTATTATGGTAATTTGTTCCTCGATAGAGGCAAGGTTGAATAGTGCATACATTGTTCGTCAATAAAGGTAAGGCTACTTCCATTATTAGGTAAGGTTGCGTACATTGTTCTCCGATAAAGGAAAAACTGCGTACATTGTTCCTCAATAGAGTTAAGGCTGCATACATCGACTCTTCCCAAACCCCACAATGGGACCAAGGTTTTATTTGGTTACTAGGTAATTGAATAAAGATGAGCCAAAACACATTATGGAGGCATATTTGGTTAGTAGATAATAATAAATGGAACCAAGATTTTATTTCAGTACCAGCACCTGAATCAGTCCCAGGTCAGCATGGTATGCAACTAGCATACCACAAGTTTGCCACCAAGTTCCCATATGAACCAGTACATACCGCCAGTATACTGTGAGATTGCATTCCACGGGCATGCATGCACACACACAGACACACAAAAGAAAAAAGAAGATATTAACTGAACATTGAAGGACCTGGGATAGTTTTTGCTTAGGATCAGACACTTCTGCACCCCAATATAAATGCATGGCAGACTAGGATATCAACTATTAGCCCATTCCTGAAACAAGAGATGTAATGAATCACATATCAATGTGCTTTCTATTTCAAGATTTTTTCCTTTCCATTGAAAGAACTCTGAAGATGATAATCTGATATTGATACTAGGTGTTATGATATATTCCTGAAAGAGTACAAAAAATTCTTGAATCAAAAATTCAATTAGAATGGCATCATAACAGATCGAGAGAAGCTCAAAGGAGTTTAGCAGAGTTGTTACCGTCTCCTGTACATGAATTTCCTATGACAGAATGAACCTGCAAGTCTAGGCAAATATTAAGCCTACAACAAACACTTGATATTAGTTCAGTCAAAGTTTGAATAAAGGCTTAGGAACCAACTTGGAGTGATCTTGAATGGCAAAATACATGCATCTAAAGAGATTAAAATGGGCATAAAGCCTTTCGTGTCCAATGCAATGACCCTGGACCGACAACAGAAAACCATACATATATTTTATTGTAACTATTTTAAATAAGTTTAAAAATATAGCCCTATAAATGCAGGAGACCAAATCAATCTCTATTCAACAAAGTCAAGCCACATTTCACAAGTGCTAAAGAGATTGCAATGTATAGCATGAGCCACTCATCGATCATATAAATCCCATCCAATCCACAAAATTGAAACCTTCCCAAAGACCATTAAATTCATTTGATAATAGGTAACTATTTGAGACCTAAACAACCTAACAAATACCACTACAAGTCCAAGTTGGTCAGGGACTTCTGAAATGAGAGAACTGAAAATTTAAGATACCAATCCAATAAGCATATTTATAATACAGTACCCATTTAACAAACAATAATGTCAAACGTCATTCATACTGTGACAATTTACACTCTAGTTTCACAAAACATGTAAAAGTCACATCCCAACATTAATATAACCCAGTAAGACAATATATAATATGGAAATCTAATGCAGTTAGTCAGATCGTACTAAGTTTAAGTTGGTACTAGGTTTAAGTTGGCCGACCGATATTTGTTTCCTATTTTTGTAAGGAGTTTCGGTTTATTTCTGTAATATTCTTAGGCAATTTTTGCATAATCCTAAAAGCGCTAGGAATACTTGTTTTAGCTACTTAGGAAACCATGATCATGTCTATTTAGAAAACTCTATTGGTCTTGAGCTGAGTTTTAAATTGTTTCAAAGTCCTATTTTTGGGTCAACATCTCTCAACAATAGCCAAAAAGTTATTATTGGTAAGCACAAATACCTTTAAGTGTGTAGTTTTTACAATAGAAACAGAAGTACTTGATCCAGGTAAAATTTAGCATCCAAATTAGAAGAAGAACTTAAAAAAGGAGACAGCTCTAAAATCTCCCACTTGAACAACAAACTTAACACTAGTTGAAGCAAGGAATGATGTTATTAAGACCTACAAACACAAGAACAAAGTAGCTAGCGTGCACTGATTTCTACGTGCAACAATCCAATTCCTTGCCTTGCCAGCTAGGAAATAAAGGAAGATCTGAATGCATCAAATGCCTTGGATTATTTTGTCTCGTTCAAAAACATGACCAGAGGCATAACAGAGTCAAATCAAACTGAGATTTGAGGGCGAATAGGCTTACATTGATCACAGGCTAAGCTTACCTTCAAGCTTCTTCTTCAGAACATCCATCACGGCACCGAAATTAGCCTTCACATGTACGGGTGGGTTCGCGTACTGGCAAGTCATGTTGGCTATCTCCTTCGAGTGATAGGCCACTTTTGATTGGCTGAATTTGAGCCCATGAGCGGTGCTGACTACTATGGTGCGGTCATTCGTATTGATCACCCCCCTCTCCCTTAGCTTGAACAGTGCAGCAAGAGCGACCCCGGTGTGTGGGCAGGCAAACATGCCCGTGCGGTCAGCAAGAGACATGGCATCCATGAGCTCCTCCTCGGTGGCCTCCTCGACGATGCCGTCCGTGGCCTTGAGAGCAAATACAGCACGGTCAATGGAGACAGGGTCGCCGATTTGGATGGCGGAGGCAAACGTGTCTGCCGCCACCATGGGCTTGAAGTCAGCCCAGCCAGACTTGTAGTAGAGGTAAAGGGGATTGGCATTGGCTGCCTGTGCGCAGACAAGGCGTGGCACGCGGTCGACCAGCTCGAGCTCGCGGCACATCTCGAAGCCCTTGTAGAAGGCGTAGATGTTGCCCAGGTTGCCGCCAGGGACGATGACCCAGTCGGGCACCTCCCAGTCGAACTGCTGCAGGATTTCTATGGCGGCAGTCTTCTGACCCTCAAGGCGGAGGGAGTTGAGGGAGTTGGCCAGGTAGATGGGGAGTTCGGCGGTAACCTCGCGGATGAGGCGCATGCAACCGTCGAAGTCAGTGTCGATGGAGAGAACGGTGGCGCCGTTAGCAATGGGCTGGACGAGCTGAGCGAGGGAGATGCGGTCAGTGGGAAGGAAGACGATAGCAGGGATGCCGGCAGCAGCGCAGTAGGCGGAGAGCGCGGCGGAGGTGTCGCCGGTGGAGGCGCACCCGACGCCGGCGATGGGGCGGTTGAGGGGGGCGCTGCGGAGGCGGTTGACCTGGCTGACAAGGACGGTCATGCCGAGGTCCTTGAAGGAGCCGGTGTGCGAGATGCCGCAGTGTTTGACCCAGAGGTCGGGCATGCCACCGAGGTGGTCGCGACCGAGGCGCTCGGCCCAGAAGAGGTTGGAGTTGCCCTCAAAGAGAGACACAATGTGGTCGGGGTCGATCTCCGGGAGGACAAACTCCTTCTTGGACCAGACGCCGGAACCGTAGGGCCAGGTGGTGCGGCCAACGCGGGAGTCGAACAGGGCGCGCCAGTGGGAGCCGGGGAAGCGCTTCAGGGCGGAGAGATTGTGGCGGACGTCAAGGAGACCGCCGGAGCGACTCCGGTACACCACGTCATCGAGCGAGTAGGTCTCCGCAGTGTCTGCGGGAGCATCAAAGGGCACGTAGCACGCCGAGAAGCCGTGCGACGCGTTCGCCTCGTCGCGCCGGCACGCCTCCTCGCGGATGTTCTCCTCCGGCGGCCTCCGGCTCTTCAATTGCTGGTGGTGGTGGACACCGGTGGGGTCGGAAGCGGTGGATGAGCAGGAGATCCGGGTCCCTCGGCAATGGCGGAGGAGGAGAAGGGAGCCAGGGTTGCGGAAGCGGTTTAAAGTCGAGATCTCATTATCATTCTTGCCCTCAGAGTCTGTGATGGAGGAGAGGGAGAAGAAGAATGAAGGACAGAACGCGGCGGCGGCGGCGGCCATGGCGGTGTCGGGGGCGGCGACGACGACGAGAGAGCACGGATAGAGCAGCAGATTTGGGTGATTGTATTGTTGGATGGATTACCACTACAACAAGAGAGAGAGAGAGCTACATGAATAGCGAATGGCGAATACAGAGGCAGACCCAGCAAGTTTAGGTCGAGCTTGTTGGTTTTGGTCTCTCGTCCGCTGAATCTAAAGTCCAACCATTCGGAATCCTTTTTATGATTCAAAATTATTATAAATAAAATATGATTATCTTGTAATCTTAGTTTTTTTATATCGTAAAACGTCAAACATGGTCAACGATGTCAAAATCATCTTGCACGAAGCTTAAGGATGCAGGAGCCATCCATCAAAATTGATTGATGGCCATGTGTGCGCGTAATTTATGTTAACGCGATTGACCGAAGGCCTTCATGGGGCCCACACAGTGGGGCAGACCGCCGCCTTCCATGGGCTTTTATTGGGAAAAGCTGTCTTTGTTGACCCATTATTCGTTTTTACTTCGGGTAGGATTTTTTATAAATAATAAAAAAAACTTATGAATCAAATCCAATTGAATCATGGCTTATGAACCATTGAAAATTGAATTGATGTTGAATTAGTTCTATCAAATCTCCTTTGCTTCCTTTTATTGTTAGTCTTTTCATTTTTTCTCTTCGTTCATCGTCTTTATATTATTTCCCTCAGTTATCTTTTTCATCTATTTTTATTTCTCCTCCTCCTTATATCTATGTTATTTAAGTGTAATTGATATGATATTGATTCTCGAAGAATTATTTTTAATTATATGATTTTATTATAATTATATCGATGCCGAAGACTCGGGTTGTGGGCATCTAAGTGCATTTTTCTTCGTAAAAGATCATATAAACGATTAGGCTGATTCAAATGAGTACTCTTTATCAGACCTAATCCTCTGTGTATTATCATCATCTTTGTGTACTTGTGTAATATCTACGGTTGGCTACTACTATTATGGATCTCCATTAGTTGTGTTAATATAGTTAAATAATATCCGATGGAATCAAGCCTCGACTACTACTGATACTTGGGAAAAAGAAAGTGAGAAAGTCATCCACTTTTTTTTTTTTTGGGTCTTATCTTTTTTTTTTCGAAAGCAAAAAAGCAAAAAACTTTACTTCAAATCTACGCCGTTTGGGAACCAAAAATGAAGACCAAATAGAATTGATATATTTAGCAATTATCAAAAAAATATGTTCCGTTACCTAAAAGACACAGAGTTGTCCTTATTCTTTTTCTCCTTTATTTAAAGTCAGTCCAACTCGTACTACACACTCCGAGGGTCAAAATTACTGATATGCCAAATAAGAATCCATTTACATTGACTTGTAGCAACAGTCTTCAATTGTAAGAATCCATTTACATGAACAGTATTCGAACACAAGGAAACACGGTGAAGAAGAAGGTAGGAAATGGAAGCCCAACCGCAATGGCTAGCTAGAGGGAGAGGGAGAGGGAGAGATCCAAACTGCTCTTCTCCTCTCTCTCCTCTTCCTCCTTCCCATGCCTTCTCTCCCCATCCTTGGGTGGTGGATTCGACGTCACGCTGATCGCCGAGCTGCAGACTCCAGCCTCCTCCTTGAAGTCCTCCATCTCAAACCTCGGCTTCCAAACAGGCTTTGCTGCTTCCTTCTTCATCCTCTTATGCCTGCTCCTCCTCAGGGAGTCTCTCATCGCTCTAATGTTCTCCAGCAAAGCGTAGAATTTCTCCATCTCTTCCTCTCCTTGCTTATCTTCTTCCCTATCTGCACTCGCTGGTCTCTTCGACTCCCTCCTCTCTTCCTCCATCGTCCTACAGATGAGAGACAAGAGAGGAAATGACTCGTATTTATAGCTCTCTCTGTCTCTAGGAGTCAATCTCCACCTCATATGTGTCGTCAGCGTACTGACGTACTGACGCTGCCATACACGACGGGAACGTGCGTCGTCGCATCCAAGGATCCACGTTCATCACGCTCCACTGATAGAAACTGGATTACCTCACAGAAAGCTTGTTTGCGAAGGAAGAAGAAAACACGAGGAGACAACATGGAGCTGATGCGAGACCAAAGAAGCAGATCGCCACCTGATTCTTCTTCTGCTCTTGCAAGTGCCTCTCTGATGAGTAATGCGGCAGAAAATAATTCAAAGCGGTGACAAGGAAAAGTACTGTGATGATCCAAATTAATCCTACATGTGTCCTCGTGATTATGATGTGTGCGAGTCAATATTTCACCTACTTCTTTTGTGATTGGTGGAAGACCATCCCTTCCCTCTACCTACATTTCCCATGATCCATAGGCATTCCAAATAAAATTGTGATGCATGATTTGCACGCATTCCAAGTAAAATCGTCTATGCATCTTTTAATATCACAGATGTATATTAATATTATTGGTCAGATACATTAACCTTATTGTTTGACAAGCATGTGTTTAGGGCAAGGCATTAGTCATATTAAAATAATCTACTTGTGTTGCTTTATTTCTTTTCATCCTGTCGATCTCAACTGGTCTTATTTCACTTTGACCTGCCATAACATTTTTAACAGTATATATTCTCTCCTTTTTTTTATCTTCATTCAAATACCACTTAATATTTGTGGTTCATGAACATAAACATTTTATAATAAGATGACGCATCTAATGGTATTAATGCTCTCAATTAAAATGAAGAATAAAAATGAATGTATACGTATAGATTCTCAATTGGAATTTCGATTCTCGGTATGGATTGAATGATTCCTTTCCTGATCTCGATGTCAAAACAAATTTTCTTCCATAAGAAAAATCTTCGTGTATATAAATGTATTTACGTTCCAAATATTTTTGAGTTATCGATTGACCCCTTCTACCAAATGTCTTCAGTGTCATGTTCCACTATTGTACTCAACAAAAAGCACAATTGCGTGGACCTGCAAACCTAACTTGGTCCGCCATTCGAGGTTGCAAGTGCATTATATATTTGCTTGAACTTAATGAACTTGCTTTACATGAAAATAAATGTAATAATCATCCCAAATTATGTTTTATACTTATCTCAAAATGCTTATATCTTATGTATGTCACAAACTGATGTAATAGGATAACTAACATGCTGGCTTATTATAATTCTACCATTGACCCGAGTTAAGCAAGTCATACTAATGCAATAATTATTTTATTATAAATAAATTTAAATATTAATTACTTTTGATACAGTACTAAATTATACGACAAACACAATGATATATATATATATATATTTTTTTTTTTTGATGTAGGTGATAAAAGATTAGTACTGTCTGATAAAGAGATGCAGTGGTGAGCTCATGGAAAGAATCCCTCCTCCAGGTTCCATACTGAACGAACTTGGCATTTGTTCGATTCCTTCCTTGTAACTCACAGATTCTATACTGTGCATCTTGTCAAGTGGAGTAGTAGATAAGCGTTCTAAAGAAATTAGAAATGGCATAAACTTTTCTTCTTTTTCCTAGTATACACACAAAGGCACGAGTCTCTACGATATATGATATATTATAGATATAACTAAATTATGAGTATAACTATTAGTCAATAAAAAAGAGATTTAATTATAATAAATTTTTTTATAGATAATATTGATTGGAGTGATTTTTTTAATTATTTATTTGACCATTTGCTCTCGCATATAAAATGATAGGACCTCATATGAATAAAATATATAGAGATATGATAAGGAGCTATAGCCTTAGGATTACATAATATATTATTGAAAGATTACATATTTTATCTCATATTCTCTTTGTCCCTAAATCATTGCTCTTAGCGGTCCAGGATAGAAAAAAAAGGAAAAGACAAGTCTAATTCTCCTTATATTCAAGGATAAATAAGATATTTTAGGTTATCGATATTTAGATATTAAAGGATAAATCTCAAGAATTATTATGACTATCTCAAAAAAAGATATAGTTTTGACCTAATATTATTATGTTTATTGGACTTATTAGCTTATTTTATAAAATTCATGTGCATGTGTAAAATATTTTTTAAAGTTTTAAAATCTAATTAAGTAAAATTATTTTTAAATAAAATTTTATTTTATTTATTTTATATCTTACCAATTAATAGGTCAAACGAGAGAATGTTAGATTATATAATTCTATCTAATTAGGTAAAACATATTATACTTGTAAATTCGACGTCGATATACTTATAGATCAAATAAGAACTTTATGATGAAATAGACATAGTATATTTGACCTATTGTTATTTGATTTTAATTTTTAATATTAAATTTTTTATAATAATAATAATAATATATAATTTGTATACTTAATTTTTATATTATTATTATAATATTATATTTCATTACATAGACACTAAAAGTATATATATTAATCACGTAAATACGATTATGTTATATTTAAAATATATATTAAACACAGGAACATTCCCATCTCTAAACGATGGCCATGGGAGTTGTAGACGTGCTCGAAACTATAACCCAACAAGAGGGAAGGCCACGATGTAGTTGACTATGAACAACTTTGATTAATGGTACGTGTAATTAAGGCGACACATGGAGGGAGATGCATATAAGATAAGAGAGGCGGATATGACAGAAATAGAGAAAAAATTGTGGTGGAAGTATATTGGAAGAGAGCTCTCGTAATTATATATATATATCCTGACATCGACAGTACTCTATGTTAGGTTTTTTGCATTTGTTTTTTCGCCTCAACTAGTGATTGTTTTTTAGTTGGTTAAGCTTTCACTTGTCGAAGGGTCTCTCTCGGTAATCATGATTGGTCCATTGTACTCGAAGCATTTATGTATACCAACTTGTCATTTGCATCGCATTAATACATCGCATTAATACATGCACTACATTCTTCGTTCTTCGAACCACTGATATCTAAGCCTTGACTGACTTTAGACTATTTATGGCATCCCGATTAATTAATTTAATATGATTGTTAATACCTGCATGAAGTTCCAAATGACTCTACATGTAAAACTTAGTCACAAGGTTTGTCATCAATATAATATCTAAAATGAACAAAGTATGTATCTCCTAACTAGCGATAATATAACATTCAATTCATTTTTTTATCTTCTGACTGATTCTAAACTCTCCAATTCCTTAAGAATGTTTTTTTCGGTCTTACCCAATGCAAGTTATATAAAGAGTGATCGAGACAACCAATCATTTTTGTATTTACGAAGAAATTTCTCCTCCAACTTAATAATAGTCTAACAATAATTTCTTAGATTATGTAGTCCTTTATCATTCGATAAGATATATAATATAATTAATTAGATTCTCATGATGAATAGTGGTTAATAGAAAAAAAAATCATATTATAGTAAAATTTCTTAGGGGATACCCTCGAGGGGATTATTTCAATGGTATGCATAAGAAGGAATTCCTCCATACTTTTTAGATGACATCAAAAGATACGTATCGTAAAATTAGATCTAATATTAATTTAATTTTAATCTTAAGATAAAAAATTATTTTTATATTTTATATAACATATTACAGATTTTATGTTAACATAATCTTTCTCCCGATTGGATCATTCAAGTTGATAATCAATTAAACATTGATAAGTAAATTTAAAATAATTTTGAAGGAGATATGTAACATTAGTTACAATAATAATGTCAACTTCTTTCGAAATCAATTCATAAGTGACGAGCCAATCTTGACAACAAGCATATCCATAATGACGAGAAAAGGCAAAGCTGGTAGATAATTAATGGAGAAACAACCGCTTAACAATCAACATCTCCCCGTAAGAAAACTTGCTGACATCACAAACATGGAAGAACAAAGCCACGAAGGACACTGGATTGCACAGATACGTAATACAAATCTTATGACACAAAAAAGAATCTTTTTGGTTCTTTCCCGATCCACAAACCTCCAATATCTAACTCCAACGAACCCAAAACCAAGACATCATTGACTCATCTCCTACCGACAAGACTCCAAAAATATACAACAAGAAGAAAAGAGATGGAGAAGAGGAGGAAAAGATTGTCTCGCACTCACTCTTCCCTTATTCCATCCACTCAAAAAGGGAGAACTTTAAGACGACGATATGTACAGTAACTAGGGTCTCGAAAGATGACTCGAGGAGCTCATGGTGTTTTGGAGGATCCTTCAGGCAATGGCGGCGATGCCATGGCCTCTTCTTCGGTCTCGATCGAGGCACTCGAAGCCCTCGACTCTCATGGCGGCAGGCTGGAGACGGAACTTGGCGGGCGCCTCCAAAGCCACCGAAGGCGGCGCAGGATGTAGCAGGAAAGGAAGCACCAGCTTGTCGTCACCGAAGCAGGCGTCATGGATCAGTGGGTTTGTGGATCGCACCGGTGGAGATCCAGCGAAGAATGGTGGTGACGACGATGACATTTGATTAGCTTCCCCGTCCTGTTCGGTAGCCACGAGTCATCAGAACAATTCTGGCGAAGAAAACGATGAGTATAACAAAATCGATAGTAAAATTGGGAAAGGGTTTTCACCTCTGAAAGGAAAATATCAGAAAGCGCAGAAGGTTTTGCCTGATTACTGCATCCAACACAAGAATCAGTAACAACTCCTCATAAATATCCAAAAGTCTTGGAAACGGACGGAGAAGAAGAAGAAGTAAATCTCAGCGGCAGATTACCGTGTTTGCCATGGCCGGTTCGGGTTGATCCACCGCGGCTTGGGGCAAACCACCGCGTTTCTCCCGTTTGCTGCCACCTCCATCTCCTCGAAACCAGCGAGATAGCTTTGTTCTATCACACAAAGATTCAGTTGTCCGCAAGATCTAAACTTTTAGATTCCAGCCTCCGTCCAAG